AGTGGGTAGCCATTCCCTCTCCAGGGGACCTTCCCAACCCAGGGATCGAACCCAGGTCCCCTGCATTGCAGGCGGATTCTTTACCAGCTGAGCCACCGGGGAAGCCCAAGAATGCTGGAGTGGGTAGCCTATCCTTTCTCCAGGGGATCTTCCCATCCCAGGAATCGAACTGGTGTCTCCTGCACTAAGGCACAGGTGAAACACTCTGATGCTCTCCTCTGTCATTCATACTGTGCCCTCTCCTTCCTCAGCTGGGTCTAAAAGGAAGACTGAAATGGAAAAGAGACGCAGAAAAATCGTCAAAGCTGTGAGGCAGCCTTGGTAAGGGTGGGAAGGGAGTGATGTTGCTAGTTTTTCATCTAGACCTCTCACCTCTGAACAAGTTAGGCAGCTGCCAAGAGAGCCACTCTTAAAACCAGAGAGGAGTGCCTACAGTAAGGGAATGCTGCCGTTTCATTTCCAGCTTTGACATCTGTATAGGTGGTGGCCTTGCTAATCCACAACCCCCCACCCCGCCCTGTACCTATTTAGACAGAAGGAAAAATCGAGATGTAGAGAAGAGAGAAGGCACAGTCCCGGAGCATGTGGCCATGGGCCAAGCGAACGCAGGAGAAGTAGCCAGGTTTGTGTTCTCTTACCATGTTCCATGCATCAGGGCTGGCTGCTAAAGGAGCAGACCTCAGTAGCAGGAGGCTGAGTGGCTTACAGGCCTTCCTGTGCCAGGGTTTCCTATATCACTGACTGTCCACTGAAAACCCTCCAATGGATGCCTACCATCCAGATGAGCTGGCCAGTGCACGTTAACCAGAAAAAGAGCCCAAAGCTCACACAGAAGAACTACAGGTACACTATTAAATGTGAAAGACTTGTCCTCTTGTCTTCTCCTTCCTCCCTGCCCCAGATATCATGAAACTGTAGTAGCCTAGAAATGTGAGAGCGGATGGTATCCCAGAGACATAACCCAGTCCTGTCCTTCTGATCGCCAAACCTTACTTCGATCCTGTGATATGGGAGGGCACTGTTTTCAATTGGATGAGATTGAGTTTTTACAGCACAGAATTGGTTTTGTTTTTGTTTTACAGAAAAAGAAAACTGACCAAGCCATCCTGGTATCTGCTCAAAGAAAAGGGAGATTTGACAAAGCTTAAGTAATTAGAGAAGAAAAAAATTGCTACTTTCATGCATACACCCTAGGCCAGTTCAGACATCTCCGTAAACTCATTACTCAAAGTAAACAAAATAGTATAATATTACCATTAAGAATAGAAGTGCTCCATTAAAATGATCATAAGTGGAAAGTGAAAGAATAGGACACTAATATTCTTTGCATTATATTTATGAATAATAATTAGGAAACAAATTAAAGAAAAAATATACGGGATTATTATGAATGCAGTTGTACAGCAGATTAAGGTATATTACTAGCATCCACGTGGTGCTGTTGGTAAAGAACCTGCCTGCCAATGCAGAAGATTTAAGAGATTCGGGTTCAATGCCTAGGTTGGGAAGATTCCCCTGGAGAAAGGCAAAGAAATCCACTCCAGTATTCTTGCACGGAGAATCCCATGGACATATGAGGAGCCTGGTGGGCTATAGTCCATGAGATCACAAAAGAGTCGGACACAGCTGAAGCAACTTGGCACAATGGCACCAAAGGAATAGAAACATGGGTTTTGGAATTAGGAAGACCTAGGTTCAAATCCTGACTGTGCTGTTTGCTGTCTCTGTGACCTCTCATAATCCTCCTGGAAAATGGCCACAAGGTTAACCTCGTTAATTTAACAAGGTTAATATAAGGATGAAAGATGAAATGTGATGACTGGAATGGGTAGCCTTTCCCTTCTCCAGGCGATTTTCCTAACCCAGGGATCAAGTCCAGGTCTCTCACATTGCAGGTGGATTCTTTACCAGCTAAGCCACAAGGGAAGCCCATAATACCTGTCAGTTGATAGGTATTCAAAAAAATAATGGCTTCTGTTATCACTATTTCCTTCACTATTTATCATTACTATCAATTTCAGTTGTTTATCCAGAGAACTAACAGCATTTGTTAAAAGCATATTTAAGTTGAAATTTGAATTTGTTGGGGGGAAACACTAAAAATTTCATGCTGCTGCTGCTAAGTCACTTCAGTCGTATCCGATTCTGTGTGACCCCACAGACAGCAACCTACCAGGTTCCTCTGTCCCTGGGATTCTCCAGGCAAGAATACTGGAGTGGGTTGTCATTTCCTTCTCCAATGCATGCATGCATGCTAAGTCGCTGCAGTCGTGTCCAACTCTGTGCGGCCCTATGGACAGCAGCCCACCAGGCTCCTCCGTCCACAGGATTCTCTAGGCAAGAATACTGGAGTGGGTTGCCAAAAAATTTCATAGTTCAGGGTAAACAAAATTCCTGAAAATAGCTCTCATCTGGCGATAACTTAGGTACTGTAGTTAGGGACTGCTTTCCAGATGAGAGAAATATAAAATGAAATGTTTAAAGTGTTGGGATTTGGCCCACCATCTATGCCTTATCACCATGTATCAGGCCTAGAAGGACATTTAGAGAGGCAAGTAAGGCCCAAAGAAGCGAAATGACTTGCCTGCAGATACTTTGAGCCTACCTAACCCCTTCCTGTTCATATCATACCTCATCTATTAACTTGTTGGCTGGTTCAGCCATATTACCTTCAAGTGCTGATAAACGTCATCTTTGTCTTTTAAGAAAGGCACCTAACTGGGACTTCCCTAGTGGTCCAGTGGCTAAGTCTCCACCCTCCTAATTCATGGGGCCAGGGTTCGATCCCTGCTCAGGGAACTGGGTCCCACATACTGCAACTAAGAGTTCTCATGCTGCAACTAAGACCTGGTATAGCCAAAGAAATAAATATTTTTTTTTAAAAAAAAGGCACCTAACTAAGGAATCAGTCCCATTTCCTCTTCTCTTCATGTGTCACCTTGGGAGAGAACCTGGCAGCAGCCTTCTGCAAGCCAGCCAGCCAGTTCAGTACAACCTGACATCACACTGAATTACCAGAAAACGATTTCATTTAATGACAGTCTATTTGATTTGTGGTTCCTGTTTCCTTCCTCCCTTTGACTGTTTCTCTCTTCATTCATTATTCCTTTGATGTAGGGTGGGTGGCAGAGATGAACAAATCACTGAATTTGATGCATTTCACTTTGTTCCTTTTTAGACGTTCTTATAATGGTTTTCCCAAGGAAAATCCATTAAACTATTGACTTAAATACTATTTGGGGATCAATTATAATTCCAATTAAGTGTACCATCTGTGTTGTTCATTACTATTCTCAAGAAACATTCACAATGGTGAGAAATGGTGTCTCCCAAGCTCATGTTTATTCATCTTCTGGTCTAGGATCTATCTTCAGACGCTGCCCCTGGACCCCCAGGATCCAGGAACTAGCCTCCTCGTTGATCCTGCCTTGTATCTGCTGCAAACTATTTTCCTGGCTTCAGAGGAATTATCATTGACATTTCTTTTTCTCCCCACCACAAGAGGAAATGTTTACTAGTTGCTTTACTATATGCCAGTCACTCTGCTAGGTGCTTTGTATTATTTCTTTAAATCCATGAGGTAGACAACAAGGTTCTCCTCTTTCAAAAAAGAAGAATATGAATTTCAGAAGGAAAAGCACTTTGCGAAAAAGCCACAGGGGTATTCGAACCCAGGTCTGGGTGCCACAGGCACTGCTTCTTCATCCGGGCTGCTCAGTCCCTCTCAGCACCAGGTGGCTGGTGGCTTCCGAACCAACAGTCCTCTGATGAGATCAACAAGCTAGAGAAACTCTATACATTCTTTCTCAAGAGTGATGTCCTCCAACACCTACCTCTTTTACAAAGTAAAGATTCCCAGGGATACATATTCCCACCCCAAACTGCAGACTTCCTGAATCAGAATCACTAGAAGTAAGAACGGCAATCTCTAGAAGTTCCAGAACTAGTCCTAGAACACTTTGCATTCTAAAAGTTTGAGATCCACTGCTCTGTCTTTCTTCTTTGACACCAAAGCTGTCCTTTAATAAAGTTTTCTTGGAGACGATGTCCTGACCACTGGTGGTTGAACCAAAAGTGTGATTGCCTTGATGAGCATGTGAGGGAACACTGTGATCTGCTCCCGGCTCACCTTCTGGCTGCAACTTTTTGAGTAAGTTCCAACGGCCTCTGGCTGAGCTCTGATTACCTTATTCAGGCCTGTCTCACAGAAAGTACATAAAGCACCTAATTTGGTGATCTTTTTTTGTAGCAGCTACAAAAAGAAATATCTTTTTTGATCAGTACGTTTTTTTGATTGTCTATTCTTTGCAGATTGTACAGAGCTAAGAACAGAGTCCCTGTCCTCAGAAAGGCTAATGTGGATCTAGATAAGAAAATAATGTCTTCTCTACCTTTTTTCTTACACACACACACGGTAAATTTCCATTAGCTGCCTTATCCTGTCTTCGTCATTAGAATATCATATTTGAGCTCTAGTGCTCAGTCCATTTAAACTTGGCTTCCCACCAATTTCCTCTTTCCGTTTCTCCTAACAAGAACCTTCTACTTTCTAAATCAGCCTATTTTATTGGTATTTTTCCTTTCTTGCAGTAACATCACACTCCTGTTTTTACTGGATCTTTCTAACTGTCGCCCAAAATTGTCTGGATGTCACAAATTCAACATTTGCCTGGAAGAAGGCATCCCTATGATCAAATCTACTTACCTTATGCTATCAGAGAAAGTAGAAGAGACATAGTTACAAGAATATCAACCAAAAAGAGACCTAGTAAACAAGTAGAAGCTGAAAACATTTAGGAACTAAACCAGAAAGAACCAAGAAGCTTATTCATTAAACACTTTGAATAAAGAATTCCCAACAATAATTCCATCCATATTTTATTTATCTTATTATAAAACACCTCACTAGAATTTGTTCACTTCCTCCTCTCCCCCACATCAAAGACAAGAACATAATGAGAATCAAGCACATATTTCAAAGTTGAACTTACCATAGAAGTTTAGCTGGTAAATCTCAGCCAGAGATCTCTCCTGGTTTCCACACCAGAGCTGTAAGAGGTATAATCTGGTCTGCTCTAAATGAATTTACAACCCCCTGCAATGCAACAAGACACTGACATTCCAAAAAGGAAATTCTATCTCACCCTAATTCATGCTGTCCTTCTCCTTTCTTCCTGAAGGGGGTTCCCATCTATTTATTTCAGGACATGGGCAAACAGTTTAGTAGCAAATACCTCACAAAAAGAAACAACAAAAATTCAGTAATGCCTATTGATCCTTGAGCCCTGTACAAGTGGAAAATCAAGGCTCTTCATTCTATACTGAATTAAGTGGAGAAAGAAACCATTTCTTGTCTGAAGTCACTCCCATCTAAATGTTTCACATGTGGATTTTATGGGGACACTAAATTTTCAGAGTTTCAAATGTTACTTACTATAAACTAACTCCAAATTTTATTCCCCTTGCTTTTGTTTTCAGATTAATGAGTTCAGCTTAATTGGAAGGAACTTCCATAATTTATTCTAAACAAAATTTAAGACCTTTGTTTTACTCCATGCTGTTCAACTAAAGTCAAACTTACTTGAGTTTTCCCTTTAAAGCAAAGCAGACACCATTCATGTGGTCTGTCTTTTCAACAGAAAACCATGTTAGTTTTTTATCCACATAACATTCATTTCCAATCCCTAGAAACAATTTCTAGAGAGAGCAAATTTGCTACAGCAAGTAGCATATAAATATGCATCATGAAAAATTTTCCACACACAGAGAAAACATCATGATTTAGTTTGGAAAACAAGTCATTTTATAAGTTGTGGAAAATAAGATCTGTTCCTGTCTTTAGGCTAGATCTTCCACTGATAGTCATTTTAGTTATTCTGTGCTTGTAACCAGTTTTCCCTGAATTACCTTGAGATATTCATGGTGTGTGATCAATTGCAAGCTCATATATTGTAACCTCAAAAAGAAAAAAACTCTTTTTCTTGAATTTGTTCATAAAGGACTGCTATTCTTAATAGAAAACAGTTCTGTTTCCCAAATCACATTTGACCTGTTTAATTGTTTCTATACATCAAGACAATTTTTATAGCAATAAACACCTCAGAAAACACTGCAGCCTGTGATTATCTATTGTGAGATAGAATCTCTTTTTTTATCATCAAATATTAAAAAAAAAAACTTGTAGGGAAAGTAATCATAAAAGTTGAAGTTTCTACCCATGGAAAAGAAACACATCTTGTCTTATTGAGTTCCTTCTTATAAAACTACAGTATCTTCTACCAGTTACTAGATAAGGTTTTGTATTGTGTGTCTAAAATCATACACACTTTAGAAATCAGCTGCTTCGGCGTGTGCTCCCAATTGCCTCTATGACACCCTCTATCTCCCTTCAGGAGCTAAATCAGTGTATCCTCACAGATCAACCTGCCTGTCCCAATAGTTTCTTCCATGGCTGACGAAGAATCTGCATCCTTCTATACACCAGTTGCTCTAGGTGTTATTAGGATCAACCCAAATTCCATTTTACCAGAGTCTCTTGCAAAGTCTTAAACCTCTCTGGCGTTTGCTCTGCCCCTACCTGTGCGGCAGGGCTGGAGGTGGCAGGACGAAGGCCGTGAGAGCGGTGTGGCTGCCTTCTGGGAGATCCCGGCCCGGCGCAGAGCTGGGGGAAGGCAGAGCCGAAGGAAGCAGAGGAGGAGGAATTTGCGTGCCACTGCAAGCGTGAAAGGGTGCCAAAAAAAACACCATTCTCTTTCCCAAGAAGTTCAAAGAGCTTTGCAAACATTAACTCAGGAGCCCAAGTAGTCATGCAGAAATTATTCATCTATTATGCTGTCAAAGTAACCACTGCAAGCAAAGTCATGAGGAAAGGGAGTCTATTCATTGTTTCAGTAGACCTCAGATATTTACTGAGTACCTACTATGTGTGCGGCACTGAAGGTAACAAAAACAAGCAAGACAGCCAAGATCTGTGCTCCTCCAGGCTCTTACCCTAGTCCCTGGCCTTTGTTTGCCCAGTCAGGGTACAAAGCACCTGGCTACACTCCGTATTACACTTATTTACGCTTTCATTTTTGCCCAAATTGTTTAATGGAACGTGCTCCATCTTTCAGAATGCCTGCTGCTGCTGCTGCTGCTGCTACGTCACTTCAGTCGTGTCCGACTCTGTGGGACCCCGCAGACGGCAGCCCACCAGGCTCCTCCGTCCCTGGGATTCTCCAGGCAAGAACCCTGGAGTGGGTTGCCATTTCCTTCTCCAATGCACGAAAGCGAAAAGTGAAAGTGAAGTCCTGTCTGACTCTTCGCGACCCCATGGACTGCAGCCTACCAGGCTCCTCCGTCCATGGGATTTTCCAGGCAAGAGTACTGGAGTGGGGTGCCAGTTCCTTCTCCATCAGAATGCCTATAATGTGCTAAATGCTGAGGAAACACACACAAAAAAGATTACCTGTAAATCTCATTACGATGACCAGAGTTGGGGAGTATCAATTCAAAGTGCTTTATTTTAAGAAGCCATAAACAAAGCTTTATTGTGAGTAGTCCTGTCTCTTGCAATGTTTATGGAATTACTATAGGCAGACAAAAAGAGTTAAGATCAGTAATATTATTCCAAGCAATTTATGTAAGTAATTTGACTTTAAAACATGATTAATCAGATGAGCAAGCCTATTTGCTGAAGTGGAGAGGTTTTATCCATGGGTCTTTTTCTGACCTCTTTTTTGTTTTATGTGACAAAACAGCAGGTCAGATATAGAAAGTGACTTGTGCCATTTCTAAATATTTCTCCTTAGACAGCAGACTAGATATTTTAAGTTATATGGTTATCTACGACTAACTGGACCAAAGAGGCTGTTTTTTAAAAATGTGTGACTTTTTGATGAATCAAAAGGGATTTAAGCTGTTGTGTTTTAAAAATGCAAGATAACAATTCTAGTCTGCTCTGGAAGTCTCTAACCCAGTTTGGATGGAACTTAGAGACCATTGCAGTCCTTATTCAGCAACTTACACAAATGTTGAAAGTCAGAGGGAATTATAATACCACTTAAAACTCAACTTCCCTCCCTCATAAACTCTTCTCTGACTAAACAGAATATAACAGAAGATGGACTTCCCTGGTGGTTCAGTAGCTAAGACTCCACAATTCCAGTGCAGGGGACCCAGGTTCAATCTCCGGTTGGGGAACTAGATCCCACATGCCACAACTAAGAGTTTACTTGCTGCAGCTGAGCCCACAAGCCACAACTAACACCCAGCGCAACCAAACAAATAAATAAGTATTTTTAAAAGGAATGTAACAGAGAAATAAAATTGATCTGTTATTAAGTGTATTATTTGATACATATACCCCATGAAATTCAAACTCCTTATCTTATTAACTAAGTAGCCTCTACACTGGGCCCCAAACTACCAGTCCAGCATCAGGTTCATCTCCCTATTATTCTCACTGCAGCATAAACATTCATAATTTTCACTATATCATACTTACCTGCAACACTGCCTCGAAGGCTGCTCCCCAATCCCTCCAATACATATGTAATGAGCTCTGCCCACCTGGAAAATTGTTCATTTTTTAAGATCGTATACTTCTAGTTACTTCTTCCCCAATTTTCACACCACTAGCTTGTTATGTATCTATTGACATAAATAACTAAAGCTTGCAAACTTCCTATATAGAGAGATTCCTTTGTATGTTCAACAACTAGTACTACAACTTTGTTGAAGCTGAATTTCCTACAAAACATCAATATAACACTTCTTGAAGCTGGTAAGGTGACGAATTAAACATGGGTTTACTCTGCACATGAAAGCACAAATGGGATGTCTAAAAACCCTTTATCACGCAAAGCTGCTAATAAAGAGAATAATATAAGTTAAATAAATTATTCAGTTAAAAAATATACTATTTTTTATTAAAAAGCTACAATAATATCAACATCATTGCCATTCAGCTTTTTACCCTTTAAATGAGCCAAGACCATCTTCTCCTCCAATTATAATAATTACACTGAAGAGAAAATGGTATGCTTATGGAATTGCTACAGAGGACGAGAAAGCTAACCACTGAAGCAGTGACAATACTAGCTGAAGCTATTTATTTCTGGTTTCAAATGAAACTGGACAAGAGAAGTGAGGGATAGGAAGAGCCCAGAAAAAAAAGAGGAAAGAAGAAAAGGGAGGTTATATTGCTGTCAAAGATTATCCTTCAGATTCACTTTTGCCATTTTTCTCTTTATGACAGTGAGAAAAATAGATGTTCTTATAGGTTGTGCAGAGCATAGTGATAGTCAGCTGAAGATAAACACTGCTTAGTTAACAAGCTGTTTTGTCTCTAGAGTTTCTTATAAAAATTATTTACAGGATATCCTTTCTTTTCATTCTCTGCATTTGAAATATTGATGATTTGTTTTCTAGTTTTACTCAAATAAATTTCAGGAATTCAATAATTGAACAATGTGGATTTGTACGTTAGTGTGAACTCTTGTGTGGTCTGTCTTATGTAAAGTTAGTTGATAAAGCAGCGACAGGGTTTGAGAGAATTGATTCTAATTTTGAAATAAGTTCTACTTTGGATAAAATGTTATTAAACAGCATTGCAGACTGCAGAGAAATCATTCATGAAAGGAAGAGTCAACCGAGGAAGCAAGCTAACTGGTATCCTATTTTAAGAAATTGCCACAGCCATCCAAGCTTCAGCAACCACCACCCTGATCAGTCAACAGCCATCATCCTCAAGGCAAGAACCTCCTCCAGCCTTGCTGAAGGCTGAGACATGGTTAGCAGTTTTGTAGCATAATTTATAATTTAGGTATATACATTGTTTTTTTAAGACATAATGCTATTGCACATTTACTAGACTACTGTATAGTGTAAACATAATTTTTATATGTACTGGAAAACCAAAAAGTTTATGTGACTCAGCTTATTGTGATACTTGCATTACTGCAGTGATTTGGATCCAAACCTGCAATGTTGCTGAGGTCAGCCTCCTCCATATCACTTTGTGTGTGTGTGTTATGTGTGTGCATATTCTGGTGTGAACCTGTGAATAGCATATATATTTAAGATGTCACACTTTCAGTGGACACAGTGAAGTGCTTTCTCCTTCCTTAGTAGTTCATCTGATCCTCACAGCAACATTTTTAGGTGGGCAGTCTGACAGTACTCCCAAGGTTCTTCCATCATAAACTATGTGAATACTTCAAAAATTATTAGAGATGCAGCTTTGATTCTTTACATTTCTTTCAAAATGTTAATATTGTATCCCTGTTTACTGAGCAAGAAGTATGCGTATGCTACACAAAGTTCTTTTTTTTCCCCTGATGATTGGAACTCTTCTAAGAAGCCACATGTCCTTCAGGGCATGCATTTCTTGATTAATTAGTCCCCATCAACATGCAAGCAAATATTTATTTTCAGATAAAACCCCGAACTCTCATCCTTCATTAATTCTTTAACAGGCAATGCAAATTCATTTTTCCTGCCAAATCCAGCAGAGGGCAGGATGCTCCCACCAACAGCCAGCTAGCTGGTGTCACCAGCCAAACCAGGGTAACTACTTGGTAGAGAGTGTTGTGATGTTAGAGCAATCATCATTTTCTCACCTGAATCCGAGAACAGGTGTGGGCTTGAGCTGAGAATAGTGGCTGTGGTACATGGTCTGAGAAATGTCAGAAAAAGTATTACTTTGAAGTTTGCCCACATTTTGTTTGGAATGTGATCTTTAAGATACCTGGAAACCAGCCAATTCCAATTATCTTCCTGAAATATCTTGCTGAAGTAGGCTACATGAGAGAATTAATTTAAAAGGTGGCATGATAATTTCTGTTTCTGGGGTTAGGCTGTCTGAGGTCACAGGTGGGCAATTATACTCACATGCCCTGTCTCAGGTCACCATCTCAACCCGTTCTGCACTCACCATCTCTCTCTGCTCTTCAGAACTTCTCATGGCTTCCCACTGCTTGTCCTCCTCTGCTTGTCTTCACTGCACAGTCCCCAGTGATAAGGGCTAATGACCTCCTGCTCACTAATTCAAATCCTCTCTTTCTCCAGGCCTAACTCAGGACCCCACCACCTCTAGGAAGTTTCTGGAGATCCCAGCCCCAGTGATCATTTGAGAAACTTTCATCAAGTGAACTACCAGATGAAGGTTTTGTACCAGGCCTTGGGTCATAAAAAGTATTCCCCATTCCCCTAGTCCAGGTCTTAGCACGGTCAATGCAAAATGAAAGGAAGCAAGGATAAATACCACAGCTCCCAGGAGAGACAAACCAGGGCTTCTGAAGGTGGTAGAAACATGGTAACAATCTGTGAGAGTTTCCAAACTATGGACTAGAAATTTATCATTGGTACCATTTATATCTCCCTTTTTCACTCTCCCTCTCTCTCTTCCTGTATGTATTATATACATAATAATTTATAGACAATTATTATAAATGAATATATTTATGCTTTTGTGTGTGTTAGTCACTCAGTGATGTCCGACTCTTTGCAGCTCCATGGACTGTAACCCTCCAAGCTCTTTCACCCATGGGATTTTCCAGGCAAGAATACTGAAGTGGATTGCCATTTCTTTCCCCAGGATATCTTCCCAACCCAGGGATCGAACCTGGGTCTCCCACATTGCAGCCAGACTCTTCACCGTCTGAGCCACCAAGGAAGCTAATGTTATGTTTTTATGTGTATATAAAACTAGCAGTGAAATTGATACCTATAATTCTAATACACAAGGTTCCCTCTAGTCTTCTCCTTTTGCTCATTTGTAACTCCTTTTTCTGACAGTGATAATTCAGCTCTCATTCTACAAAATTTATTTACTTATTTACT